TCTGTTTGCACGCTCACTTTGGACTTTCCAGTGTTCAGAACTGTGAGAAACAAATGATGAAGCCACCTTGTCTATGGTCTTCCATTATTCTGGTAGCCTGAAGTGACTCAGATTAGGCCAATTGAAAAGAAGAGTTTGGTGTGAGAATGCTTCTGAGGCTGAAGACCAAACAGGGAGCCCATCTGTAAGTGGAGCCCGGTTATCTAGAGAAGGACCCGTGGAGGAAGGCAGAGTGGTGAGGGCCCTTCTGCTGGGCAACGGAGGTGGCCAGGACCTTCTAGGAGGAGTCACGTGGAATGAGATGGGGGCTGTGGCTTTTCTACTTCTCTGACTCAGCTGAATCTAAAACAGGTGGAAATATTAAGGGGAGCTCATTTCAAAATCACATTGTTGCTATAATGAAAACTTGGAAAACAGGTTGAAAAATTATTTAGAGGAGATTGTAGAAAGATGGTTTCTTTCGCTCAGATTCTAAAATGAGACCTTATCTTCTTCAAAGGTCTCAAAAGCCCCCCAGATCATTGGCGTGCACCCTTGTCCAGCTGCTGGACCAGGGCTCTCCACAGAGGCCTTTCCACCCCATGACCCACCAGCACAAATGGTGGCGTTTTCCTCACAGCCTTCTCACCCTTTTTGTCCTGATCTGCACTGCAACACTGTGGTCTTGCAAAAAAACAAAATATGGAAAACAAAATCAAAACTCCCTCCCTTAGCCAGGAGAACAGCGACCATAGATAAAAGGCTAACAAATAAAACAATACTTGAGCTTGGACTTCGTCAGAAAAACCAGAATGTAATGTCACCACGGCATGGGCCAGCTCGGTGTTGGCCTCCATGTACAGATAGAAGAATGTGATTAACCTAAAATTTGTGACCACAACCTTAGGAATTCTATTCTGCTGCTGAAAGCCACTAGCAAAGAAAACAATGTGGGGATGACCCTTCTTATTTACTGTGGTTTCATTTTTCTCAAAATTGAAAAGAATGCCACTTGTCATAGGCAGTCATTACATGGTGTACCCTAAGTTAAGATAATGAAGCTAAAACAACTGTGTGCATTTGCTTTCAAATTATTCATGCAGGTTGCTCTGTGAAGACGAAACTCCCAGTAATGAGTGGTTGATTATTTCTAGAACCTCAACATCTACTTGACCAAAGATCTTCAAAGAGAATGTAAGTTTTCTTTTTTTTCTTCCTGCTATGTCTCCTCCCTTCATTTAAATTTGCCAAGATTTGATTAGTGGGCTGGGTAAATATACAGCACTCATTTTTTAAAAATTGAAGCAGAACAAGAAAGTTCTTTTGCATCTATTTTTGAAATTAAGGAAAAGAGTGGAAAATAACGTGGTTGATTTCTTGCAAATTTCTTAATGTATTTCCTTCTTCCCACCCAACAATGTACACAGGTGAATGCATGTGTTGGGGGAGCTATCTCTGGTGTCTTTTCTATTACAGACTCCAGTTCTACGCAGCTAGGACCCCACCATATGACTTCATTTAACCTTAACTCCCTCCTTACAGGCCTTACCTCCAAATGCAGTCACTCTGTGGGTTAGGGCTTCAACATATGAATTTAGGAGAAGATAATTTAGTCCACAGCATGCAGTGTGCTAGAGGAGGGAGTTTTAGGGTATCCAAGGTTCTGGGAGTGATCTTGACGGGTGCAGAAGTGTGACAGAATAAGACAGACTCTAGAACGATTGCACTCATTTAAGCATGAAGGGAGAGAGTTAAAGCTGAGCACATATTTGCCCATTTCCCCTCAGGGGCAGGCCCAAGTGTTGTGATGGGATAGTTAGGTGTGCCCCAGCTACAGAACACAAATAGACCAGCTGGGCCTGATCTGAGGAGGCATCCTCAGGGAGAGAGCAGCTTTGTGACCTTCACAGCCCCCATGGGGAGGCATGGTTTTCCACTTGAAGGCAATGTAGGGAGCTAGTGGCTCACTATAGTGCGGAGTCCTATGGGAAAAGCGTGAAGACAAATGTGGCACATGCATGTATCATGATATTTTGAGCCTGATTTCCCTGGGGATGCTGGCCTGCCCTCCTTGTCCCCTGAAAAGATGGCAATATCAGATGAACAAGCAAAACAGGCAGAAATGAGCTTCTCTGCCCTCCCCAGGCCCCAGGCTGTCCATCTGGCAGGATCATGGGGCCTGGGCTCCAGCCAGGGCACAAATCTCACTTGTCTCTTGGTCCCAGGACACACAGGTGTGTGAGCTGAGTCTCTGTCCAGACTTCAGATTAAAGCTCTTATGACTTGTAATCCCACCACAGACCCTCTGTGGTTTTCAGTCTCCAGCTGGGGTGCCAGCTGCCTGGGCTGGCCATCAAAGCCCCTGAGGTTAGAAGAAGAAATATCTGTCACTGTAAGTCAAGGGCTGAATGCTGACACAGTGGGAGCCCCAGGAAGCTCTACCAGGGCCCTTGACCATGGAGGGGAGCCAGGTGACTATAAGGGTGAGTCTGCAGGTACCTGAGCTTGGGCACAGTTCCTGTTAGAGACTCCTGGACAGCTGTTCTAGAACCTATTCACCTAGCCTCTTGGAAAAATATAGGTTGGTTCTGTTCTGCCACTACCTGGAGCCTGTGAGTATATGAGTGTACGTATAAGGAATTCAACAGACAAAAATGATCCTTAAAACCCCAGAGCTTTCTTTGTCTGGTTTTCAATGCAGAGCAGGAGAACTTTCTCCACCTAGCTAGATCTGTTCTCCAGGTTTATTCTTGAGTTCTAGGAAACTATTAGTTTTATAATAGCAAGTAAAATGAAAAGGTTAGCATCTTAGAATTTTGAGGAACCTGCATGATGACCTAATTTCTTAATAGATAAAAAATCCAACAACCAGAGAGGTAAAGTGACTTGCCCAAGGTCACACAGGTAGTTAGTATAAAGACAGTCAGACTGCAGGAGTCACAAGGGAAGGGCCTTGTTTAGTTTGGCAACAGTTGAAAGCACAATGCCTGGCATGTGGTAGGCGTGGTAGATGGTGTTGCTGTTCTGGATGGTTCATTCCCTTCCTGGTTAAGTGCAGTATACACACTAATGCTGCTATTTGTCATGTGGGGCCTCCCTGTGGAAGCAGTGACACTAATTGATGAAAGGCAGGGGTTGTCTCTGCTCTCTGCCCTGCAGCCTCAGTGACTGGCCGTTTCAAGCCTGGGGTGATGGAAAGAAAAAGGAGGAGAAGCTGGCTGTGCTGGTGTCTGTCCAGCTACACCCTGGCCTTCCTGATTTCACTGAATCACGTGTGAGTTTGTTTGGGTCTCCCATAGGTAGCCTCCAATTCAGTCAAAGGAGTAAGGGTGCAGATGGGTTGCAAACTCCAAGCAGGCCCAAATCACGAGGGGTGAAGTGTGAAGGGCTGTCTCTTCCTCCATTGCCCCTCCTTTTTACAAACCAGACCCTGACAGCCCAAGGCATTAAATATGTTGTCCACTGTAAAGTGAGAGGCTTTAGTTTCACCACTTAGGCTAATTCCATTGGTAGATAGAAAAAATACAGTTCTGTATTACATTAGATTGAAAAAAATACTGTGTTCTTGCCGTTTAAACATTGTAATCTGTGCTCCCTGAGGACAACATGAGATGGCATAGAATGGCAGGCAAAGAGCAACACCCCTTTCTTCTTCCCACAGGTGGGGCCTGGAAGTCAAACATTCAACTGGAGGATGCTGGGACTGTCACTCATTCGCTTGTTCACTCTGTCTTTGTCTCCTTTACTGAAAGAGCAATGACAAAGGAGCCAGGGTGAGACCAGAGGAGGTGCCAGACATGTGGGGAGTGTCATCTGCTTTCCCTTTCAGCAGCTGCAACAACCCGGGCTCCTGTTTTCCCAAGTGTGGACCACGGAGGGGGCTGGGGGTGGCCCAGAGCAGGTGTGTGGGCCCTGAAGGTGGCTGGATGCAAAGGGAACTTCTGGAGAAGCCCTCGCAGCCTGGAGCTGTATGCAATGTCAGATTTCCTCGTGACCTTGGGGGTAGCCTCAGGGAAGGTGAAGACATTTGTCTCATTTGTCTTTGATGACAGATGTGCCCTTTCTTGTCCTAAGCCAGGTCCCCTGGAATTGATCCTTTCCATGACAGGGAATCGGGGTAGGGGGCACTGGAGTCCAATAGCTGGCATTAGGTCCTGTCCCTGCCATACTAGGTGGGACCTAGAGCATATTGCCTGCCTGCGTGGCCTCACTTTCTCAGAAGTAGGGAGGCCTGAGGACGTGCTGTCCCTCGGAGGGTGTAGGATTGATTTAGCTGATGCAAGTCAGGGCCCAGCATGTGTGTGTGCATGTGTATTATATCAGGGGCAAACAATGTTAAGAGAAACTAAGTCAGGTTGAGAAGAAACCCAAATTTGATCACTTCTAATTGAGAGTGATTCCCCACTGGCCAGATATTTCCAGAGCACTGGGAGTGGGAAGAATGGAATTCTAAACCTGGGAGCAGGCAGCTCTAGACACTGCATGGGCCTCTTGCCTGCGAGCCTCTCCTGGAGCTCCAGGCCAGTGAGCTGCCTGGACAGGCGACTTTACCCAGCCCATCCATGCTCGGTGCACACACGGCCACCTGCCTTACAGATTTTGGACATGTCAGGCCTCGTAATCATGTGAGCCAATTCCCTCCTCTCTCCACATATAGCCTATTGGTTTTGCTTCTCTACAGAACTCTGACTAATAAAAAAGGAGGGATCATAGGGTCAGGGCCTTTTAATTAATAATGGCATCATCCAGAGAGGCCTCACCTGAACCTCTCCGATTGCAGGCGCAGGGCAAAAGAAGTAGTCACCATGGCGCATGGCCCCAGGGGCACTGCCCGCCCCCATCCTGGCTTTCCACCATTTCTGGTCACCAGCCGGCTGTCTTCCCTGGAGCCTCCTTATTTTGGGCACTTTCAGACAAGTTCCAGAACTTTCTACTAGGTTCTAGAGCCCCATTTCTCTGAGACAGCTTTCCAGGCTCTGTACCAGATGCAAACCTTGTGAAGAATCACAAGCAGTTCAGAATGACGCTGTACGATATAAACTTTATTATAAAACTTCAGCAAATATAAATATCCAGGCACCCACTCCGAATGGAGCTGCATGCGGGGAAGCAGAATGAAAGCAGCTTCGCACTGATGGAGATGCCAGAGGCCCCCTGGACAGCCCCATCCCAGGAAACCAGGGCTTTCTCTCTGAATGGGTCCCACAAAAACAGCCAACACTTATGAAAGGGAAGTTAAAAAACCCACAACGCACAGAAATCAAACACAGGCTCTAAGGCTATTGCGTTGGCATGTCTGTTCCAAAAGGACCATGCACACCCCTTCCTAGGACAGCAAGGCTCTGGTGTAGGCAGCGATTCCCTAATTCTGGCAGAACCTGTAACTCAGTCATTTAAAAAGGAAAAGCACTAAGAAATGGGTTTAAATAGAAACACTCACTTGTAAGTAACTGAGAAAGATAACACATAAAATATAAAATCCTCTCCTCCAGCACACGAGTCTGAGAGGGATAAAGCACCTTAGCAGGAATTTCATTTTTCCCACTTCCAGAGGCAATGTCTCAAATCGGGACAGAGTCCAACCTCGCCCGGGCGGGAAGGTGCCCCTTAGAAACAATACCCAGCTCTTGTCACAGCACCAAGTCCTTGAGAAGGAAACTCTGCTGCTGGGGCAGGGAGAGGGGGCCCTGGGAACACAGCCAGAAGCTGTCCAGGCTTCCTGCTTCTCCTGGTCGGAGGCTGGTTATTCCTGGCGGGACGCCTCCGAGGTGGGAGCCAGGTGGGCATACTTAGTGGCAGATATTTTTGTACTTATTCCTAATGCTGTGGCCTTTCTTCTTTTTAAAAAGCACCAAACATTTGGCATTTGGCAGATTCAGCCCCACCTGTCTTTCTAACTCGATTTAGCTGAAATCCAAACGCCAGCGAGCACTGCTCCTGTTCCGCAGAGCGGGCCCTGCTGCCTGCCGCCAGGCTCCCACCAGCACGAGAGCATGTGCTTGTGTGTACACAGGTACGTGCACACACACCCGCACATGCGCGGGCGTGCACAGATTGCTGACAATTTTTCTCCTTCCAGATTCCATCTTCCTTGGACGCATTCCCATACAGACTGGACAGCTCATTGGTGCTGAAGACAGGTATTTTTCTCAGTCCTGGGAGGCGGCCCAACTGACTCACAGGTTGGATCTGGAGCAAGTCTCACAGCACTGCTGGCCATAGAACTGGTGGCTGCACATTCCGTGCTGGGGCACCAGGGAGCACCAGTGCAAGTGGTCTTTGCAGAAGACATCTGAAAACAAGCAAATTCCATGTCAGTCAATGTCCCCAGGCCACGCCCAATGCCAAAAGCTAATAACTCCACTGGCCAATCAAGATAAAGTTGTCATTGTCTTGAAGCTGCTGAGGGAGGGGAGCTCTTTGGGTCAAACGGGGCCATGTGAAACCTGCTAGTTTTATAAGGCTCTTCTTAGAGGGTACCTGCAAAACTAAAACTCTCTTCTTTTTGTGCTAATTCCTCCCACTCCACCGCTCATCTACCCAAGACAATGGGCCCTCTGAGGACGGAAGTTTGAACTCTAATTCTCTGACTGGGCCAATTCACGTGCTCTCCCCAGCACCATCTTCTCTCTGAGAAGCCTGCAGAGACAGACCACTGGTCTCTGCAAAGGCATTTGAGGGTCTGTGCACAGGTGCACAGGGATGGCGCTTAAGAGCACTCACCGAGTGAGGTAGGCTTTGTTCAACTTATTTCTAAATAAAATGAATGGCATTGAAACAGGCAAAGATACCGGGCTTTTAAAGCTAGACTTAAAATTTATCACCGTTGATGCCATTTCTGGGGAGGCCAGAGAAATGAGGGCTGTTTTGTGGGATAACTGGAGGAGGGTATAAAAAGAGGGAAAAGGTATAGCAGAGGCGAGACCTGAACTTCTGCACTCTAGGGCTCTCTAATAACCAGTGTGCAGGCTGCCTTCTCCAAGCCCTCTAAGGATCTGCTCCAGAAAAACAGCACCCCTACCCCAGCGTACCTAGGTCTCCCAAGCCAGGAGCCCTCACCTTGTTTCTCTGCGACGGGGCAGAAGTGAGTGTTGCAGGCCAGGGAGGCTTCAGGCTTCCGGTGCACGAAGCAGCCCACAGCTGGCCGGCCCCCTGCCAGGCACTGCACGGACCTGGTCTGCACGCCACCCCCACAGCTGGCTGTGCACTGTGAGGAACACACGTGAGAGTCACCCAGGGTTGCTCGGTTCTCAGGGCACTCCCCTCTTCCAAGGGTCCCCCTCCACCCAGACTCTCTCTATGATGGTGGGTGGCTGACCAGAATCTGTATTAATCCCAGATAGAAACAGAGGGGAGGAGTGCTCAGAAGTGCAGAATGTTCTTCAGTCATTCACAGGCTGATGGACACAGGATAAAGGCACAGATCTGGAGATACAGCACTGTTCCCTGGACCTGTCTGGGCTGCGGGTCTGGCATGAGGGAAACGGTGCCCTTCATGGATGCTATCACCAAACCATCCCTTCTGGTGCTCCTGACAGGTCAACTCCCACAGAGGCTTAAAAACAGTAGGCCCCTTCTAGACCCCAAGTTCACAGACTCTGGGTGCCTGGAAATGGCAACACCAGTTTCTTGGGTTCATTTTGCTACGACACTCACATCCTCCCAAGGGTGTTATCCTCTGAGACCAAGGCCCGGTACCCTAAGGCACAATGGCACAGCAGAGCTAGAGAATGCAATGGCATGGCTAGAGCATCTTCCACTAGCTGCCCGGGTGCACAAACTCAGAATATGTGGCTGGGTCATCTGAGATCTACTGCAGGTAAGAAATAGGGAGATGAACAATAAGAAAGACGAACCCCAAACTGTTGCAATCCATGTGTCCAAAAGAAAACAACTAAAACTCTAGACTGAGTCACATCAGGTCAGTTGTGCTTTAAAAAGGCTACTGGGTCAAAAATGTCAAGAACATAGGCAATTAAGAAGAACCTGCAGGAAGATGGGGTCAGATAATATTGTGGATGTCCTGCTGTATGGTGGGTACGCTAAGCAGTTGCTTTAAAAGGCAAGAATGAAGCTGTTCAGTGCCGGGGACAGACATGACTCAGCATGCTTGCCACATTTACAGGAGAGTGCATCAGAGCCCCATGGGAGCGCGCTAAGGCAGCAGCCTGGGGCTGGTTTTCCTCAGCACCAATCAGTCTGCAAGGGAGCAGCCAGCTGCTTCCCTGTTGCTTACTCCTGACCTGCTGCAATCAGAGCCTTGCAGCACGGCTCTTACAATCTGCTGTGGGTTGGGACTGTCAACTAACTAACTAACTAACTAACTAACAAAATAAATAAATAAAGCCACTTTAGAATGGGGATGGAGCTGCTATGCCAGAACTGTCTTGCACGTCTCGTGCCTCAAATCTTTGGAATGTTAAAATAGCCCCTTGGAATGGGCCTAAGCAACGTTGTGCCCCACAGAACTGTTTGTAGGGATAAAAATAAAATAGGTGTTACTGAACTGAAGAATACTGGTGTAAAAATTAAAGATAATATTTAGAATTATTGTCACTGTTTTGCTATCTGCACCTATAGAAATGCCTTTCTTCTGTTGATGCAAGTGTCCTCCTTCCCTTTCTCGTAAGTAGCCCTTGACTTCACCTCCTAATTGAAACACTATTTGGGCTTCTGCCTGAATCAGTGATTCCCAAACAGCTATGCTTATTGGTCTCAAATAAATGCTCACTGCCTCTCGCTTTGACAGGCAAGACTCCTCATTTGCTCCAGGTTCAGAGCCACCTCTGCAGGTGTCCACAAGGCCTCCACCTCATGAATTAAATTTCTTTCATAATTAGAAGCTAGGGAAGGATTCCATTCTGGCTAAGGGCAATATATCTCAGTTAGAAATCAGAATATCTGGCCATCGTTTGTCATTATAGAAACAGTGCCCACGTTATTACTGTGTGGTTTGGTTCTTTTCGTCACTGATCCATTTATTTACACATAGAAATCACCCGCCTGCCTTTAGCAGGCACTGTTCTGGGGCACTGGATACTGAGTGGCGAGTACAAGCCATGTGCCCCTTCCACAGGTACTTACAGAATGGCACTACTCAAAAATGACCACAACACAGGCAGCAGTGCGGGGTCTGTTAGCAGTGTTGACCCCCAAAGTCCCTGCCTACCCTGAACTCTGCCCAGAACAGTCTCCAGATGATTCTTCTGCACACCAAGAGTGAGAAACACTGGTCTAGAGTTTTAAAATGCCCCATGATTGGATTGAGTGCAGGCTGCGAACCAAAGTGTCACAAGTTTGATTCCCAGTCAGGGCACATGCCTGGGTTGCAGGCCACAGCCCCCAGCAACCACACATTGATGTTTCTCTCTCTCTTTCTCCCTCCCTTCCCTCTCTAAAAATAAATAAATAAAATCTTTTAAAAAATATTCCTCATGATAAATTTAACATTTTGGGAAAAAAGCCTCCAAATTATGCAAAATTTGCATTTCATGTAAATTGAAAATAAATTAAGTCATTCAGCTACAAATTTTGAAAATACTTTGCACCAATAGAGCTGTAGATACACCAGAAGATGCAAGAAAAGGAAATTTGGAAAAGCTTCTTCATGTTTATTTTCAGAAAGAAAAACATAGAGAGTTTGTTAATTAGTATCACAAGCATAATGACTTCAGACTCCTGATGGCAGGACAGAGGAGGCCAGCGTGCTGTGTGGTGACTGTAACTTGCACCTGCTCGTGGACCTACACAGTGACAGCTGCTGGCACCATCTGTCCAGACCCCCTTGCCATTGTCTTCACCTCCAAATCAGTGTTTTGCAAACTTGAATGTGCATTCAAGCCAGTTGTAAGACTTGTTAAAAAAAAATGCTAGAACCCAGTCTGAAATCTCAAGTTTCCACACATTTGGGCTGGAGCCTGAGACTTGCTATGGACCCTGAGAAAAAGGATGCCTACCAAGAAGGACTCCTGGTGACTAACTGGGTTCAACATTAGAAACAGGGCTTAGCAAGTATTTCTATACAGAGGTCTCTCCTGCAAAGCACACTTCAGAGAGAAACCTGCAGTGAACTGCCTGCCTGCACTGTGTTCCTGCCATTTGAGCCAGCCCTTATAAAGGAGTTCCTGGAATTGTATTTCAACCAATAGAACTGAGGCTTTCTCTGTCCAATGGAAGCTATGCAGCTATATCCTCCACCAACATTTTCACTGACCAATCAGAGGGATTCCAATTCTGACCAATCAAAATGTGAGGATTTGGAGACCTCATTTGCATGAGGACAGACCAATTAGGAGCTGCGGGCAGGGACTTCTGCCTTATAAGTCAGCTCTTCTCTGGATCAGGAATGCAGTTTCCCTTTCTACTGCCGACTGAAGTCTGCCTGGCTGGAGCTGAGATACTGAAGATGAGACACAAAAGGTGTTTCACGTGACCAGAGCAGAGACCAGCAGGAATTGCAGAGCAGAGCAGAGCTGTCTAGCTAAAGAGGGGCCTGGTCCCAGGGTCACCTCACAGCTGTGCTGCTTCATAATTGAACTGTATTACAGCTGAGCTGTTCACACTGCATAAAGTTTCCTTCTTCCCTGCACCCCAAATTGAAGACTCCTGTTGGTGTTGAATTGCTGCCACTCATCATTGCTGACACAGAATATTTAACCAGGACGCTCCTGGTGATGCGGGTCGGGCCACTGCTCTACGTGTCAGAATCACAACAGCAAATGCCCATTTTTCTTTTCCTTTTCAGGACACTTCAGTTACGTCTAAATTTAAGAACGGTGGTACATAGAGCCCATTTCTGTCATGACTGCAGACATTTTAACAAGTCATCTTGTCAAGGGACTGAAACTTTGTGTGTGTTGCCCTGGCAGTCCCTGGTTTGCTTTAGTCAGACAGACAATCCAACAGGTGTTCTCACTTAAACCATTCCCAGACCCAATGAGAATGTGAACCACCCTCCCCTAAGCCCAAATGACCCATATAATTTAAATCAGTCCTACCAGGTGACAATCCATTAAATCTGATGATAAGCAATGTCATTTAAATCAACAGAAACCCTGCAGATCAAACAAAAGAACCACAATCTCCATACTGTTACAAGAATAAACCCATCTGGGGGCAAAATTCATAATGCATGTGGCCTGACAGTTTCCCACAGTCTGAGGGCACAGAGGGTGCAAGTGCTCATGGCAAACACAGCCCTCCCTCTGAGTTACCACTCCCCAAAAGTTAAAGTCTCAGAACATGCTAGATGAATTGCATTGGATTAAAAACTTCAGGCAGCGTGTGGTAAAAATGACTTGTTAGTACAAAAATCGAGTATTTCAGACTGACAAAAGCTATTACAGACATGCGTTAGGTGTTTTGGTTTTGGTTTAAACTCAATACTGATAAATCTCATTTTCCTCTTTGTATATTTGCCTGGAGCCTGCGAGTTGAGCAGAGTGGCCTGCCAACTAGAGGGTGGGGAACTGGTTTCAGGGGCCCCAGTGTCCCCACCGACAGAGAGACGACAGTCTTGGGGAGCCACCTCTGTTCGTCCACCTCTGGGGACAGAGGGAGCACAGCAGTGACTCAACTCCACTCCTTAGCTCCTCCATGGCTTCATCCTGTTGGACAGACTGCACTCGGAAGGAAATTAAAGGGAAATGTTTGTAACCATTGATACTTTTTGTTAATTTAAAATAGGAAATCCTTGAAAGAATATAGTTCAAATGTCCCTTGCTCCAATAATTTAAATGAAACAATTTCTAATTTGAATATCTTTTGGGAAGGAGTCCATATATTTCCAAATGAAAAAACTATGTCAGGTTCGGAGACAACCAGAATCACAGTGGAGCTGGAACATAGGCCAAGGTCTGTAGGAAACCATTCTGCGTGGCGTGGGCCCAGCTCCCACTCGGAGATGCACAGGACCCATGCCCATGGATAGGTTCTCCTGTGGAGAATCAGGCCTGCAATGTACCTAGGCTGCTATGAGTTTTGCTTTTTGCTAAAACTCCCTCACCCTGAATTGAGGACATTTACTGCAAAGCAACTTCCTAAAATCCATGCTAAACCTTCCAAGGATGAGTGTAACTGGTTCAATTACTTTTGCCTTTTCATTTGCAAATATCCCTCTTCTGTGATGTGATTACCAGCTTCCTCTCCTTTGTTTTCTGTATAAGGTAACCACTTAAATTGAGCCTGTGCATAGTTAATGAGGACCTTCTTGTAATGTGCCCAGTAAGACAATAAAAGCTCATTGGAGCAAGGGCTGAGGCTTTTGCTCCTTTTGAGAGAAAAGCCATGCTGTCCCTTTTCCTCCACCGGACTCGGTAGTCCATGTGAATGTCTCATTTCATCCATACTGACTCAGACACTGTGGGCTGGTGTCTGCATCAAAGGTCAGTATATAAGGTCCATGGAAGGTGTAGCTGTTCCTCCTCCATGGATTGAGGGAATAGCTCCTTCTGCAGAACTCAGAGACTGGGACCAGGAATTATGGCCGAGGAACAGAAGGAGGACTGTGGCCAGGCTGGGACGTCACAATTTCTTAAGAATCTGGTGAATATACAGCCAACCCTGGGCTCACAGAGACATGGCCAGACCTGTGACACAATGATGTGGGTGCGGGAGGCATTATTTAGAGGAGACTTTGAACTGATTTTATGATAGTAGAAGTTTAGGTAATATTTAAAAGGATTCCATGATGGATTACATTGGTTCTGATGAATATTTCTGTTTGTTTCCTTTGGACTTAAAGATCATAACTGAGTGATTTTTGCTCTGTCACATTTGTTCATTTCAGTTTCCCATGCAGAGTTGGGTTGACGTGAACAGATTGCTGGTGAGTACATGTGGGCGGACTCCTGAAGGAGCGTGGACACAGAGCCAGGACAACCCCTGTCTGTTGGCAATCAGCAAAGCCAAGAGTGGAAGGGCCAACACCACGCCACCTCTAGGCCACTCCTGGCATCAGGGGACTGTGGTGCTCAGTGCCTTGAGGTCCTCCCTCCGAGCCTCACATTTTTCCTGCTAGAGAATTCCTGGTGGTGGCAGGTGCCACGGTAATGTCAGATCCAGCTCCTACTGTTTACCTGCCTATGGTTCACAGCCCAGGGCAGGAGGACTCTGAAGTTAAATAGGACACAGCTCTTCCCTGTTGGATCTCACTTTCTGGGGGGCGGGCAGTCTGAGGAAAACACAATTGGAGGGGGACACAATAACCCCCTGTATTAGTTTCCTGGAGCTGCTCTCACAAATGACCACAAACCACCCTGACGGCTCAGAATGCCAAGGGCCAGGCGTTTACAAGGTGAGAAACCACAAGTTTGTGGCCATGCATAACATCATTTTAATTTGACTTTTAAAAGCCCACATTCCACCCGTGTGCCCATGATGACCATGGGCTCTGACTTGGTCTGTGTTCTGCTGCCTGGGGCAGGGGCGTGGGACAGAGTAGGGGACCCCTGGGGCCCAGGCTGAGCTATCAGGGCCATGGATAGGCTGAAATCACATGACACGTAACAGCCCCACTGAGAGGGCCACATTCTGCCTCTCATTAGATTCTCTGTGCCTCAGTTTCTTCATCTATAAAATAGGGGTGATAATGGTGCTGCTGGGAGGAATAAATGAGCTAGGAGCCCCACAATGCCTAGCACAGTGCCAGCGGTGGGAAAGGGTGGCGCCCAGCAGGCACTAACCATTGTTATGGCCTTTATTGCTGCACATGTCAGGGAGGCTCCCAGCAGAGAATCAGGAGTACCTTCCAGGGAGTTGTGAGTACAAGTTGGGGGATTCTCCGCAAGATGGGCCTGGCAGAGGGGGGCACACAGGCTGGTCGCCACGGCATACTACATCACTCTGCCTCCACCTCCATTTCTTCAGAAAGAAGGAGAAAGTCAGAGATGGGGCCTCCACTGTGCAAAGTGGAAGGATCCTGGCTCCCTGACTAACAGATTAGAAAGTCGGAAAATGTTCCCTTCCCCTCCCTGCAGGGACAGATTAAGGCCAAGCGCCCCCTCCTGGGTAGAAGCAAGAAGTACACATGCTCCAGGTTTGGCCAGCTGGAACCAGTTAGAAAGGGTCAGCACCTGGCACCTCTCCGGTGAGTCATCTCCACGGAGTGAGAACAGAAATGGCAGCAGGAGCCAGAGGAGTGAGAATGTGGCCCTCGGACAGAGAAACTAAGGGCAGAGGAGCAGAACCACAAGTCGAGAAGGGAAAGAGTGCAGTGTGAGAGCTGCCGGGAGCCCAAGGCAGAAAACAGGGCGAGGAAGGACGGTGAGCTAACAATAGTAATGGCAGAATTCTCCTTAGGATTGAAGGGAGTGTGGAAGAAGGAGGGGCATGAAGACACCGAAGGCCCTAGGACCAATCCCGAGGACCTCTCTGGGCCTGGGCTGCCCTAGTCTGAGGGCCCACGCAGGGAGCAACAATTCCAGGGTGTCTCGGCCCCTATCTGCACTCGGTTCACATAAACCGAGTAGAATCTCACAACCACCTACTTATTCCTAATTTCTTCCCCATTCATTCATCTCTGGGGAATCTTGCCCAGCTATTACCAAAAGGCATTATATTTTCCGACGCTTAATTGGGTGACGACTTAGAACAAAGCACAGGTTCCCTAAAGGACTCCATAACTTTTGGAGACTACCCTCTTCAGAAAGCCACAAGCACGCCCAGAAACACAGGCACTTGTACACACTTTGGAGAGGCAGGTCAGGAAATACTCGGCTTGGACACCCTCCCAGAAACCCCCACCTGAGCCAGCTACCAGGGTTCAGAGCAGGGCCCCTACCTGAGACCAGGGCGAGGTAAACCAGCTGGCCCGCGGAGGGCCCGCAGCAGCAAACAGGGCGTGCTTGGGGCAGGGGAACAGGGCGCAGGCGCGTTCCAGCTCCAGGTCGGGCTGTGGCAAGTGCAGGCACTTCTTTGAGGTCAGCTCCCGGTACTTCCCAGAAACATACTTTTCAGCACATTTTAAGAATCTTTTCTGTGTTCCCCTTTCACATGTAACAGAACACTAAAAACAAAAGAAAACAAAAGACATGAGTGAAAAATACTTCTCCAGTGGTGGTTGTCTCTTACAAAATCGTTGAGCCAAACTATCTCTTGATTATATCAGCTTGAACATTTACATGAGTGTAAACATTCAGTGAAGTTTACTGGCATTTCAAAGGTAGTTCAGATTCTTTCATTAAAAAAGGAGGACTTTGAGCCCACAGTGGCCTAGGGTATGGGGCCATAAGTGGGGGCCAGGCAATCAGAAACCATGAAGGGAGTATTTCTGAAGCTATCATTCACTGGGAAATCAAAATGTTGGGCTGTAACTGATATGAGAATGCACTGAAATTTAATACACAGGACAGGAGGTGACCCTCAGAGCTCCGTGCTTTAACACCACCCGGTAGCAGTGTGAGGCTGGACCCTAAAGCAGGGGCAGAGGAAACCCAGGGCTCACAAGTCTTCCCCAGAAAGCTCCGAGCTCCCTGTGAAGAGAGTAAGCACACACGACAAGCTAATACATTTGTCCCCACGGAGGTGTGCTCCTAGCCACAGTGATCACTGATGTGGGATGCCCTGGAACATGCAGAATGGGCCCTGGATGAACCTCTGGGCCAGGCAGAGGCACATAGGCAGGCCACAGAAAGACAAGGCCCACTGTTGTACCAGGGGGCTGGTGGGCTTGGAGGGCCTCGGAGGAGAGGTCCCAGAGTCCGAAGGTGCAGGCTTGTGCTGGAGCAGTGGGTGATGCTCAGCCCGATGGGGGATTCTATCTGTTCTACAGTGTCTGCAGGTTGCATAAGCAGCACAGCCAGTGTGGCCACACCTGTCCAGGTTCTGGCCTCACACTGTCATGCTTAGGTGTGGCTTATAGGTGTGCTTTGTGGGTGTCCTGAGGCCAATACAGAGACAGAGCTGGGGGACTGCTCTCAGTCGCTGGCTGGGGCCCAGCCTAAGAGAGAAGCTGAGGCTCTGTGTGTGTGCATGTTAAATATTCAGGGCGAGGACTCCCCACCTGGACACCACCCACAGACTGTACAGCCCCAGTCACTTCCTACCAATGGACTCGGCCTCCTAAGAACAGTGAGATTTGATCCTAGGAGATAACTGACACTCCTGTGTCCCAGGTCAGAGAACCTGGAGTTTTTCCTTAGCCATGGCAGGCTTGCTTCAGTGAGCGACCACATTTTCACATTTCCGTGGCAAACTGAAACAGTGTCTAAAAGGAGTTAAAAGCCCTGGCTGGCAAGCCACCCCTTCACTGACTGATTCATGTCCCATCCTGACCAAGGCATCATTCCTGGTGTGGGCTGGACTGAGGCCTTCTGTCTGCCCCTGAGGAGCTTGAGGTCAGGGAGTCTGGTGCTTTCTTTGCACAGGTGCTGTGGGAAAACAGACAGCCAGTTCTGGAATTGGGGGGAGGTCTCTCAATGCCCGTTCCCATGGGTTTGCATTGGCAGGGTGCTAGTGTCATTCTCTGCTGTGTTCACTTTCCAATGTCCTTCTGGGTTTACTGACACCTCTACCTCCAGGTTGGTGCACACCACAACACAATTAAGGAGCTTCTGATATGCTCTGCAGGCAGCACTTGCACATGTCCCAGTGTCCCCTCCCTGGTGTGGGAGGCTGTGCTGGGCAGAGGCAGCAACTCCACCTGCACCCTCACAGGCTGTACCATCCCTCCATTGGGCTAGAGCTTGTTATAAAACCTGGAACACTACAAACTCCTGTTAGTTCCAGCATAGCAGGGCCAGGGCAGTCCCCGGATAGTGCAAATAAGGGGGCTTCCTGGCCTTTGGCTGCACAAGGTGTTGATTCCAGCAAACCCAACGCGAGTGCTTTCTTCCCCAAATGTAAGAACTGCCCGTGAACACTGGTTTCAGTAAACAGGTCCTCTGGCTTTCCAAGGTAATGCATTCTCCTCCTGCTCTGTGTTGTATAAGCACTTTCTGGCAAATGGCTGCAGCTGTTCTGGGGTTAGGTGGGCCCCCAGGACCCCACTGTCAACATGACAAATGTCCTCTACTCTCACACTTGTACCCTGCTCACCCACCCATCCTCATCTCAGTGCCAACTGAGCGATGGCCTTTTGGATGCCATTGGGTGGGCTGCTCAAGAACATGATCTGGAAGCTGGAAGACATGTGTGGGAGTGGAATGCCTTGAGGTTGGCTGAAGCCCAGATGGTGGCCTGAATGGGGAGGGTGGGCCTCCATTCAGGTAGAGGAGAAAGGAGGGAAGAGGAGGAGTAGAAGGAAGCAGTGAAACCAGGTGGGGAGATGTAGCCCCAAGGGGAGAGGTGGTTGAGCTGGGTAAATCCAGACCAGGCACACCTACCTGGGACCAGGGGCACCTACCTGGGACCAGGCGGACACCAGCCATTGCAGCTTCTTGTGCTTGTGGCACCGCTTAAGTGGACAAGCCTCATGAGTCCTGGGCTTGGGCTCTGAGCTACAGAGTACGTCAGGCAGCAGCTGCATCCTGGCTGAGGGGTTAGTGCTCTTACAGGCCACGGACCTCTTCTTCCACCCTTTCCCGCAGGTTCGTGAGCACTGCACAGGAAGAGTAAGCATCAGCTCCCAGCAAAATGCATCGGACCTTGTTGGGGGACCCAGGCCACAGACGCTGCAAGGCCTGGTGATAACCCAGCTCTGTGTTCCACATGAGGGGCCCAGCTACCGCCCTCTACATCAATCCTGCCCAAGTTACCTCTGCCCAGGGCCCGATGCTCCACGTGGGAGGGCAGCTCTGGGTGTGGCAGGCCTGTCGGCTGGAGGGGGCAGGCTGGGGGCACAGGCTGTTCAAGACCTGCTCTGATCTGTAGTGGGCCCGCCGCATGCACTGGACCACCCGGCTCTGTGTTCCACCACCGCATGTCCTGCTGCAGGTACTCCAGTTCCCCACGGACCAACTGGGAGGTGACAAAGAAACACACAGTGAGGGATGATGCCACCTCCCTGGGAGAGGAGGGCCACATCTGTGCAGGAAGCAGCTGCCATTATTTCCCATCTACAGTCTACATGTGCAGAGTCCTTTTTATTTATGCTGAAGGTCTCCCACTGACCCCCGCTGCTTCTCACTTCCTTATTGGCTTTCCTGATTGCCGTTCTTCCCCCTGCCCTGGCTTTCAGTGTGTGTACGTGTGTGTGTGTGTGTGTGTGTATAACATGACTGAGGACAGACAGTTTATATGTAACCTTTAAATTCAGCAATTTGACGATTCAATATCTAGAACAAACATTTTCATTTTAGTGCAATGCCTTTGTAAATGTCTTTTTAGAATCTCTAACATCACAGTATGGAGCAAATGCACATCCAAGTAAGGAGACAGGCAGAAAGGATTGGGTCCCGTGCTCCAGGGGGGCCATGACCATCCCAAGGTTGTGCCAGCGCCAGGTGTGCCGTCCTGCTGAGATTTCCGAGCAAAATGACCAGTGCCATTCCTCGAGTTCTCCAATGGGTCTGATTTTCAGAGCCATTTTCAGACTCTTGTGAACATTAAGTCAGTGGTGGAAGGAGAGGGAAGCGGATGATGCCTCCTGGATGGGAAACAAAAGCGACCTCACCCCAGCGCTGCGCGCAGCCCTGCCACATCCCTTGCGCCTCTAGGCTGTGCTGCGCTGTGCTGGTTTTACTCACTGTCACTTGTAGAAGCCTTGAATTATTTTATACTAAGGTTGCTCCTGAAACAATTCTATTATGTGTCTGAGAAAATTACAAAATAAAAGCAAACCCTTTCATACAAAGTTTTGTTCACATAAAACAATGTTAAGCTTATAGGAATTGCTCTGTCTCAACCATGGAAATGTTTCCATTTTTCAGAGTCCATAAAATTACTGCCTTTTATTTCATGTTCAATCATGTAAATTATTCCTCCTCATGATGAGGCATGGGTTTTCAGCCCCTTGGCTGTGATGCTTCTGCCTTTGGAGCCTCTAGGTTGCTTCCTGTTGCTTTTACGTTTTCTCCCATATCTTGCATTTGCTCTCTCAGCCCTGTGGCCTTATAAATTATAATTGGTGTGTCCGCATGGGGGTTGCAAAGACATCTTGGCTGCACTCAGGCTTTTCACACCCTCTCGTTAAGTCCTCTGTCTCCACCACCTTAAAGCTGTTCCAACTGGGTTGATCCATTCTCTGCCCTTCTGTTAACTGCCCATCATTAAGAAATCCTCCTGAACAAAGATCATTCACATGGCATGTGGAGGCGCCAAGTGTCTGTCTGCTTTCAAAGACAGAGCTCTGGGGAAATGTCTTAATTGCAGCTCATGATAGAGTCAAAGTCTGCACAAGCTTCCATGCTTTCTGAGGATTCTGAGAGCAGAAGCGAGGCATGCTGGGCAACAAACCAGGGGCCACACTTGTCCCGCTTTGTTCTGTTTTCCCTGACTGCCAATTGGAACCGAGCAGGCAGCTGGAATTAGCCAAATCGGGAAGACTCAGCTGCCCAGCCATCACCTGTGCTTCCGAGGCCCAGGGCTGCCCTCACAGGGCACATCTTTGAGCAGGGCTGTCGGTGCTGCTGGGAGAGGTGATGGACTTTTACGGCTGTCACTCAACATTTTAGACAAGGTCTCCTGGCACCATTTGTTCAAGATTCAATACCACTATTTGTCAATAGTCATTAGTAGTTTCCAGATAAAATAACTTTCTCCTCCATATTAAAAAAGTAGTAACATTTTGGTTTTGGTTATTTAAAGTTTCCTTTGAAAAATACAAATTTCCAACAAGAGTGTTTGGCTTTAGTAAAATACCTTATGGCGAAGCACCCCTCAGGCAGCCACCTTCTGGGTCAGAGGCCACCCCCTTCCACATGGACCGGTGCCTGCTGCTGACGGCTGAGACCCACCCAGAGCCATCTGGGGGATGTCATAGACTTAGCATCAGTGAGTCACTCAGAGAGCAAATACTGCTAATTTCATTTTAGAAGTCAGTTTCAGTTTTTTTCCTGCTTATTCTCTTTGAATTTTCAAGGCAGCATCTGTTATTCTATTTTTATAAATAACTTGATCTTCTAGGAAGTCTTTCGTAACTCAATAAACACATGAAATAATGACGGGGCAGAACCCGTGTCCCGGCATGACCCTACAAGGAGGCATGACAGACATCAGGTGCACACACACAGCTGGATTCGGGTCGGGAGAGCTGCTGGCCGCAGTGAATGATGGCACGGACATCCAGCACTGAGCACGTGTGCCTCCTCCGCATCAGCAGGCTTGTGCGCGAGTGACTTTCACATGTCAGTATATTTGTCACCGCTTCCAAGTGGGCTGTTCTTAATCAGATCATCCACTTCCAGGTTCGGCAATGATCTTTAAAGACCTCCGTGTCTGTGAACTCGGACACTCGCACACGGAGCTATGGGTGGCCCAGGGTGAAGGCGGCTACCCCTGGTCTGATGGGCCCTGGGTTTGTATGGTTTTTCAAGACAGAAAAACCTTTTCTTTGTGTGACACTATAGCACTTTCACACGAGAAAAGCAATTTGAGATCTACCACACTTTTCTTCTACATGAAATGTTTTAAAGATAACAATGCATATCCAACAATGAGCAGATGCTAGTTTGAAACATCTGCCATTTCCACTGGGAAACAGTAAGTTAACCTAGAAGAGAGTCAGCAGAAGTGTAAGTGGGAAGCACAGCAGTGGAGGCTGGAGAACTTGGGAGGATGAGGAAGGGGAGAAACTCCTTTCCCATGTCCATCTGGCCCCTTAGCTTGCTTTCTTTATCTACTGCTTTGGAATGTGTTATTGGTCTGTGTCAAAGGATGTTTCATCTGTGTCAACTGGGACCAGCTACACTCCAGGCAAGTTTACAGGCAGAAGTCCAGCTCTGCCAATGATCTTGGTAACCAAATATGTAAGTGAATGGTGTTGGTATAGCCAGAGTTATTGGACAAACAGATGGCTCTACCTGCTAGAGCAATGCCCTTTCTCTCCAAACCCATCCAAAGTCCACTAGTTCATTAGAAACGACAGTGGGTACTGACCACTCACTCATCCCTCTACCTCGGCCTGTCTGCAGGATGTTCTGGATGCTGTCTGGGGAAACCAGGACCCTCTGTCTACTGCACAGGTGGAAAATGCAAGGCCCATGGTCTGAATCCAGCCTTCCACCTTGTTTTATCCAGCCCGGCACCTTGTTTCTATCTGACAGCAACGCCGAGCTCTCACTTAACTGTTAAGGAGTGGTTGCATTTATACAGTCCTAAAATTACATTTGGCCCTTTGAAGGCAACTGTGAGACTGATGTGGCCCCCAGTGAAAATGAATTTGACACCTCTGGTCTATTGGACGCATCCTTCTAGGGGCAATGCTGGGGATTGGCTTTGATTTTCTCCTCAGAACTGAGAGTCCATTCTGACTGTTGGTTGGCAAGAACAGGGGCAGACTTCAGAAACCTGGAGCCCTGGGTGGGGACTGCAAGCCTTTGCCATCAGCACATGGAAGCTGTGCCTTGACAGTTACTTCATTTGTTCAGTCCCAAAAGTTAAACCACTTTGGGGACTTGTGAGACTAATAGATTTATAATGAGCCAGACACAGGCACTGCGTTGTTTTCATCTTTAGATGCAGCATTTCTTCTCTGAATCACACCAAACCAAACTGAAAGACATCAAAATCTCCCCCCAAAGGAAGCTCTGTGGGTGCTAATTTTATGGACTGTGAGAAGCCAGAGGTATGTGCATTTTTATTATTCAGGGGCCAACATTCTATTTTTGCCAGAATTTTTTTTTGGTCTCACTATCCTGTCATCAGATGTTATCTTAAGAAGAATCAGTAAGATCTACAGAGCTTTCCTTTACAAGGGGAGACAGAAAAAACACATTTATGAGGGACATAGAGACCACAGAATCTGACCTCACTGTTCAAAACAGGCTCAACAATTCCCTGTTTCAGCAAAAATCCTTCTTCTGAAGGTTTTTCTTTCTGTAGGCCACTGAGGGTGTTTGCATCCCATTAACTCAAATGTCAGACTTCAGCTCATAAAAGGTAAAAGGAAAACCATTAGATTCAAATGCTAATGAAGTTCTGCCTCTTTGTGAGGTTGCTCCTCCATCCAGTTTCCACAGAACGTTGGACAAAAGAAAGCTGACTGCTAGAGCTGGGAAGGACTTCAGGAATGATGGACTTTACAGGCCACATCTTACAGCTGAGCAACAGAATCCCAGGGAAAAAGGACAGTTCCAGAGGAAGATGCAAACAGGAGGAAGGTTCAGAAGACCCCCTGCACAGTGTCACTCTCAGTGTCCACGCTACTCTACTCAAAAGAGCAAGCTTCTTTTCCATCATCAGATTGTAGCGTGGGGAGGGCAACTCCCTCTTGCTCCTCTTGCATATGCATTCAACACCAAACCATGGAATTAGCTGTTTATATTGCGAACACCTTTGTTATGGTGTACAAGGCAGTAGGGTGGGAACTACATATTAGCAGACAAATTAGCAATCTAGACCAGATTGCAACTGAAATTGAGTAGAGTGAAAAGGAGGTACCTTCCTCCACTTGATCAGATTTAACATCCCAAATTTTCATGCTCAAGGATAGAACAAAAGAATTGAGAGGACCCCAGTTTATTTGCCTGTGACCCAGATGATGCTAAGGCAGTGTTTTCCAAACCACAGCTCACACACCTAGGTGTTTCTCATCTCTCCTTCATTCTACAGGACTCACAAATCTAGAGATGGGGGTCAAGAATGTTAGTGTTTACAAAGCCCTCCCTCCCCCTGTCTAATGATTAGGATAATAAGCAGGGTTGGGAACTGACTCTTAGGAAATGCAATAGCCTGTTCTTCAGGACAGTCCAGGACACTGGCCCTTACAGATGAGCCCTGTCTTCCCTCCTTCCCTTGTAGTAGAGTTGTATATATTTTTTAAATAAGTGATTAATTTATTTATAAGGGAAGGGAAGGAG